GTCGATTGAATGTATGCCTCGACTTGGTCAGATATACTAATCTCCTTCGCTATGCGAAATGCATTTTTATCAAGTAACATTTGAGTTTTTTAAGACAAACATTATAGAAAGAGATAAATCTAAAAACGCTGTGCTAAATTTTTGCGTAAAAAAAATTTAAAGTTCAAAAAATTGCAAAAGATATACGCAAATTGCAACGTCGTATCGCAGTGCCTGTGCTTTCTGAATATTATCACTTCCTGAAAAGTAAAATTTACTAATCATTACAAAATAAGCAAATTTTCGCATCATTTCATTCTTTGCTCTAAAATGTAAGCATAAACTTCAGAATTCCGTTTCTTTTTTTGTTTTCTTCCTAGATTGTTCGTACAAAATGAATACAGGGATGGATTGTATAGAAGACAAAATAGAGAAAAAATTCGATATTTCTGTGTTAATATTGTTTTTCGCAAAATTTAATGAATGAAATGAATGAGGAACCAGAAAATGGTAAGGATAGTAACTGTGGCTTAGTTTATTAGTTTACAAAAATGAATATTATTTTCGTAAATATTCTTACACAAAAATTAAAAGATGTAACAATTAGAGTGACAAGAATAAAAGGTTTGACAGTATAATTTGATAGCGATACTATGTATAAGTAATATTAACGGGAATATTACAATAATCAAATTCTATTTCGATAATCTAATAAGTTTTTTAACTTAATCTTTGATAATTCACTACGAATAAAATTCAAAAAGAAACTACCAGCACTTCGTCGATTTCACATGTAATGTCGAGTTCTTGACCTCCCTGCCGTACAAATCATGTCGAGTCTGAAATGGTTTCCGTCACACTTAATCATATTAATAATAATATTATTATTAATATTATTATTGTTGACTAATAACATTAACAATAACATTAAAAATAATGATAATATAAATAATTATAATAATAGTTATAATAACAATAATAATATTAATATTAATGATAATAAACATAGAGATCAGCAATAATAATTTTGTAGATGAAAAACCTGCTGCCACAAAAAAAAGAAGTTTAATAAACAAAATCTACCTGAAACTTGCAAATAGTATTTAAAACTCACCGCAGATCCAAGCTGCACTAAAAATTAGTTCTAACTGCACCGACGTATTGTCGTACAAATCACTCTAAATAATGTGCTAGAAAAAGAAAGCAGTTTGGCTCACAATGAGATCTCTAAAACGCCTAAGAAACTTAACCTATTATATCTGACATTAAAAATCATTAACTACCTAGAAATTATCTAATTAACTCATCAAATTGAAAAATGAATCAGACATTCATAACGTAGTTGATCTGATTGCAGTCTTGATGTTGTAGTGACTTTTTAAAAAACGCTACATTATTTTTAATCGGCTAAACAAAAAAAATTTTTTAACAAACATTCACGAAGTACATTGTAACCATTACCGGTGATGAGACTGCTCACTTATGCGGTTTGCAATTGAAATTCCTAAAACACTCTAATTAGACAGTTGTAAGCCTTTCAAACAAATAGAGAAAAAATTTACAATTAATATGATAAAATAGAAGACAATGCGAAAAGGGTACAATACATGGTTCATAATTAATAAAAATTGTCAATACGGAGCTAATAAATTTAAAATATAAATTAAAAAAGAGAGAAGACTAATACAAGAAATTCAAAAAATCGTTCTACAGATACAAAGTGAAGATGATACAATAAATACAAGCAGAAATCAGTCAATTATTGTAAACAATAAAAACTAATCGAACAAAATACAATATATAAACCATACAAAACTAGTAAAGATTCTTCCATCGCTTCATTCTCATTTCTGCATTGTTTGCACTCGAGGCCGTCATTCCCACTATTGACATTGGTGGCGGTGACGATATTTGTGCTTCGGTCTTTGGCTTTCCTCGTCGATTAAAAATCCTATAAAATGTTTTCAAATCAACAAAAACAAAATTTATAGAATTTAAGGGAAGACAATTAATAATTCAAAGCATTTCTTAACTCATGAATTAGTATAATAATATGGAAATCCCAGTACCTGGTGGGAAACAAAACTGCGTAGTATCCCCGCCCAGTGTTTCCACATAATTATATCAGTCGACTCGCTGCCGCAAAACACGCTTATCGTAGCAAGGACATCGCTCCAGTTGGTGAGCTCTCATTAATGTTTGTAAAGGTATGACCATAATGAACTTAAATTATAATTGTCTTCAGATTTCGGCGTATACTTATATACAAAAATACCTTTGCGAGCGAAATTGAGCAACTCAACGGAAGTTTGATGTACATCCGGCACCGATGGCAGTAGCCTGAAAGAATAAAAATTTTAGATGTATTATTCAAAAATAATCTCAAGGATATAAAGTAATATGCACTGCAAACAATCACATATTCATTAAATGACTAATTTTTTAATAACATTGCTATGAAAAATCGAAAATATAAATTCCTAACATCCAGTGCGTGTGCTGCTGAGTTCACTACATAAAGCTTCCATGCTCGAAATGATGCGAGTACGCATCAGTGGGCACCGAGCGAGATTGCAGTCTGAAAATGAAAGGGATTATTCATGCAAACTGTTACAATAATTTGAACTCACAAATATCACTTATAATTTTTATGAACATAAAAATGAACTTAATAAACTTACAAATCAGCCTGTCTTGCACTACGTATGGATTTGAGCTGGCTGCTGTAGTTCTCCTTCTAGTCCTGAATAATTTTCAGGATTTTGTGCTTCAAAATTGGGGGGGAGCGCATTGGTGATCACCGGTCACTGGGCATAGTATGCGGCCCACACCTGCGCCTGAAGTATTAATCAGTGTGAACGGTCTCTAATCAAAGTCAAAAATGCAAATAATAAGTTGAATATCAGAAAAACATACAACTTCACGCGCTAATCAGACATCAGCTCGAAATTATGCCAGCGCTTGCGAAGACGGCATGTGACCAACGAACTTTTCTGTAACGGAGAAAAAAGCAGCGAAATTAAATATATAGTCAAGTTACTTGCACTTCATCTCATAATACATTGCAAAAATCTGCACCTGAAATGCAGCCGTCTTGTTCAACGCCCGACAAGCTCATTGGTTTTGTGGAAAAAATGATGCGCGTTTAATTTCCGTGCGCATCACATTGTACCTGAAATTGTAATAAAATAAAGTAAAAGGCACTGTCTGTTTTTCGTTAATAAATCTCATGCAAAAAAAAATTACAAAGAAAATATAAAATTTATTAATTTTATTATTAAAAAATAATTATTTACCTGTTAAAAAATTGAGGCACTTGCCTGCAAGCTTGGAGTAGAGATTGATATGTCAGTTCACTCGGTCCAGCTTTGTCCTACAAAATTTATTTCTTACTTAACATTGCAAATGCTAAAAATTAAAAATAATAACCATTTATAATTACTGGATGTAATAAAAGTCATTGCATGAACTTCAGACATCTATGTTAGTATTTGTTAAAACCTACAAAGCTGCTATCGTTCTAATCCGTAGTGGCGCTGCAGCTGCCAATGCCCAGGCTGCAAACAAAAAATTGTATTTTCTTACTTGGAAATAAAGTTTCAAAAAAGCTGTTGGGTTACAGCGATCGCAGTTTCTTTCATTAAAAAGGAATAATTAATAAAATAAGTGTAATTAATAAAATAAATCATAAATGATAAAAATTAAATAACACTTACTCGCTTCATTAAATCATTTCGATTCACGTTTGGCGCCTGAAGAGCGTTCCACAATGCTTGCTCTGGGCATCCCCTAAAATTCTTACTACTTCAGTTTCGGCATCAAATCTTGGTAGTAATATTGTACTTATCCTCCATGTAGTTAACAAGTTTCAATTTTCTACTAACTGCTGCTTAGAAAGGCTTAAATTCAACTCACCAATTTGCACCGTTCGCTCGTCAAGGGGACACCGGCGCAAATTAACTCGAGGAGCGTGCCATCGGTACCAAATACTAAATCTAACATAAACATATGAAGCATAAAATAATTTTTTTGCAACAGTAGATGATCCATCATTTATTAGAGATCTTCTAGTTTTATTGGTCATCACAGTACGAAAGGTCATTAAAAGTAACGGATATAGAAGTCACTGAAATAACGGAGATCGAAGGAACATAACGAAAGCAAAAAAAACTGAAGTTTTCGAATACATGGCAGTCTCTACGAAAGTATATTTACGAAACAACACTATATTATGATCACAAAATATATCGATAAAGTAGATATTAACTTACTCCTGCTCCTTTAGACATATTTGGTCCAAATACCGTTCATGTGCGGCAATCTGCATCATGCAGAATAACGCGTTCGGATGCCGCACGGCATGCTGCCTCGAGATGCAAGTGGCAGTGAGGCCCACTCCAGGCAAACTCAACTGTAGGAAACAATGAATCAAAATTGCATTAACATTTATAAAGGAGTTCAAACTTTAAATCAAAACTGAAATAAAAGCATTAAAAAACTTACTATAAAAGGGCAGGCCGCGTTTGTCTCCATCATACATTCTAAGGGACTCCCAACAGTCCTTTTGTGTATTGGCGACCATTGTCTGAAGCGTGTTGGCATCGAAGCCCAATAACTCCGCGAGAGTGTCGAATAAATAGCACCCTCACACAAATCTGTGCTGATTCCCAGCCTGTTAGCCGAGCAGTAAGCTCTGAAATTGAATAATAAATCATTTATTGAATTCTGAGATAATACATGAAATTGCCATTTTCTACACTGATAACAACTCATTACAAAGTTGTCACTTGTGAATAACATTATCAATAAAATCATACCAATTATTGCGCTGAATACAGCGTACATGGCCATAGTCTCGCAAAACATCTCAGCGAATAACCTAAAAACTGGTTTTATAGCAATAACAGGCAAAATAAACTCGTAAATTAAAGTTTGATAATGTTATGAACTAATCACTATACATCAGTAAATAATTTAAAACTTCACATCACATAATGATCCCTTTCTACCATTTTTTTTTCAGTCATTATTGTTGGCAATTTGGACTATCAGTAGCAATAGGCAAGTAGATCAAAAAACTTTATAAAAATTGGCAGGAATGATTTACTATAGTTATAAGTTGCTATTTTTCCACACATCGTATATGAATATACATTAATTGTTACAGCGCGTGAGTGATTAATTTGATCGACTCTTGCTACAACTTTCATCCCTTTTTATTCTAGTAGAGTTTTACTGCGAAGTCATTCCAGTTTTCAGGCTGTATTCTTGCTTTAAGTACATTGCAGTTCAAAAATTTTTTGGCAATATCTATCACTTTTGATTTTCCAGTTTCCGTAAATGTAGCTGCCAAAATGACAATATTCGAAACGTATCGTATAGTTTCTAACAATGAGCTTTAAGAAAGTTTCTTTAGAGGTCTTATCGTAAATCTGAAATCTGATCAATTTCAATGAAAACAGTCTCTAACGGGCTTAGCCGTCAGGATGTTCTATTTAATACACAAGTTTGCAATTTTCCTTTTGAAATTAATGATTTTTAGACAGCTCTGGTTCACAATAAGAGAAAGTGAGTTTGTACTCTGAGATCGGATTATTCAAGTAAATTTGATTGTGTTAATTAGTAATCGGAAGTAGAAACAAGGCGCTTCTATCTTTTAAGCATATTTTTCTAGTATGAGTCATGAGCCAAGTCACTTATAATTTTTCATAATTTAAGTAGTGATCGAGGTTTTGATGTTCTGATACCAAATATTTAGATGATTTCTCATTAACATGAAGGTATATTCAGTTGCAATTTTATCTAAGATAAAACTAGTTTATTCAATGAACATCTACGGTAATGTAACCAAACGTGTTTCTCACAAAAAATTTAGAATTTTTCAGCAGTAAGCATACAAATTTAGTTGATAATAGGTGATTGCATTAGTTTATTCAGTTGGAAGCTTTTCTCAAAACTATTTTCTTTCATGAAACTTTTGATTCAACCACATATTGTTCAGTTATTTGTAATGTATTGCATATTCTCTACACATTATTTGATGTTCTGAGCAGGCCTTTCTCTTGTTTTGCGTACTAATAAAGTGATTGTGTCTCTGCGTTTTACACATCAGACCCAACTGACAGTATGCAATGGGACCAAAATAAATCAACATAACTGATTATTATATTACATTACATATATTTAATGACTGATGTATTGAGATTGGTCACAATGGATAGAAAGTGCTTCAACTGCAAAATAAAAATTACAAACTATTCGCTGAAGTCAAAAGTTCTGGTAAAAATTTCATATCTAGTTAATAAATGGTAGTGTATATATTTTTCAAATACTAGTATATGTATAAAATTACAAAATGGCAAAAGTAAAAGTACTGCATGATTTTAAAATGAATGTATTTTCATGTGAGTGTATTTTTCACAAGTCCGAAAACTCTTGGCTTGTATGAATAGAGGCATGAGCAACAATTTATTGAACACATACAACGAATATTATTTTAAGAGTGTAGGAATTCAATTTTCTTCTTGATAAATGTTCTAAGATAGTTTCTATATAAACTATTGTTGCAAAGTCGCAATGATGGATATTTGAAAATGAACCCCAAATTTGAAATGCAACTTTTTCTCGGCATAACAGATGACATATTTCCGATATATTTCCGACATTTCATCTGTTATGCCGAAAAAAAAATATTTAAAGCAGTCATTTTCCAGATCATCTCGTAAGCTGCCATCTCCTCTTATACATTTAACTGAAGGCGACAGTATTATGACTAAAACTTTCGAGTATATCATAGTTTAAAAACTGCGAACAATAACCATTTGTACTAGATATACATTTGTTCTGAGATAATTGATCAATCTGAGAGATCAACATTTTACATTTTGAATGTTATGTTTACATGTCTGAAAGAAAAGGCCAGAAAAGTGGGAACTGCATCTTCTATTCTTTAGAGACAATCTGGAATAGTTCGGTAAGGTTGATTGTATGCTGGTAAGATATACTCTGTGGTTTTGTAGTAATCAACGCTTCACATCATTCTTTATGCATTTAATGCATTATTTTGTTTCTTCTTTTCAATGTTAAGCGCAATTTTTCTTAGCAGAGTTATTATACTGCTGCTTTCTGTTCGTGTTTCTATTTCCAAGTTACAGACATATTAATTATTGCTGAAATAGATTGATTTTACCATTTTACTCACTTCTTTAGTTTCTGCTGCCATTACATTCAAGTCAATCACTATCAATATTGATCCTGAATTAAAGTTGTACTGCTAGTATATCACGAAGTTCTTTTTGTATGACTAATACAGTAATCATTTATTGCATCACTATTGATAGCAACATTTATTTTCCATCCCAAATATTTTAGTGATCCTTTTATCACCCATGAGATATTTTCTAAAACTAATTACGATAGCAGTCAAACTATATCAGCAATATAACAACAAATGATAATTTCTTTGAGCACAACATATCATCTGTTATGCTCAAAGAAAATAGGCTTTTAGAATCAAATATCTTACTTACATATTAATAGCTATTGTACAGGCTAGGCCAACTAGTAGGAACCAATATGACTACAGTTGATCTCGGCACTTCCACCATGATTCACATCTTTCCACTTCATCTAAAAAATTAATTTTGATACTGAATTCTTTCTAGTTATTGACGCATAAATAAACGGCCGAATTTGCATCATCGACTGTCTATAGTTAAAGTTCGCCAACAAACTTTGTTGACTTCTTAGATCACTTTACATGTTGTGAGAATAGTAATGATGTCTTTGCGTTCTATTTTTATATGCTACTGTTCGGCCTCAACAATTTCTTGACATTTTACGTTTGCAACACGTAAATAAGAAATGCTGAAAGCGTCACTCCGTATATATGTCTTTGATACAAGGCAGTCACGGATAACTCCAACTCTGTGGCCTGTATTTTATATCTGTCAATCAGCAACTATTCGACTTCGCACACATATAAACTGTGCATGATGCCGCATTTACTCCGCCATTACCATCTTTTACTTTCGTCCACACAGAGAACATTCTTTCTTGTCACTTTTAGTCACCATGTAAGATGCTGAAAGTTTTCTTAAACCTTGTTTAGGTGCTGAGAGACGTGGTGGATATTGTTATAGTGTTCTTGCAAGTTATGAGAGCTTAATGTTTCGCAGATCTGCAAGCTAAGTAGTGAACTAGAGTAGATAAATGTGTGGCTGTATGTGATTTATGACTTCTCATATGTTTGGAAAGAATCAGTCGAATCGATTGACAACAGGGTAGAAGTTACCGAGTAATGACGAAAATAGTGTAGAGCGATTGACTGATCATTGCTGTTTCATCGCAATAAGTGCTTGCACCTATAGTAAAGCATACGCAGACTCTTGTGTGCACTCACACCAAGCGTTGGCATGTTCGTAGACTGTTATCGTGACTGCAAATGTCTGTTCTCAAAGGCTCTACACACCAAACTAGCATTTCTGGCACTTGCATCGTTTTTACTGTTCAGCTACTAGAAGTCATTTGAGTAAATTTCCTCTCCCTAATTTAGTGATATGATTACATCTAAGCACTTGACGAACAATTATATCGAGCTGGCGATCGAGACCTGGCAATTGCGGCAGTTTATGAAGTATTTGCTCTCATAAATGGTTGTTTCGCATTGAGGAAGCAGTTAAAACTTTACAGTTCTAAATTCTCTGTGTGAACTAATGTAATCAGGTTACAGTGAGTTGACGCTTTAAGTTTCGCGCCCATCTAATGAGATTTTCTATTTCATTTCCACTATTGCAGTGATATCGATAGATTGTTTGAATATGAAAAAGTTGAGCGAGTTTTGCTTAGTTATTAATCATAAATTTACTGCAAATGTGGAGTTCTAAAAATAGTAGGTCAAAGATAAAATGCCAAAAATTGATTGTTATTCATTTCATACTTCTATAACTCTTCCATCCTGGAAGGCGACAAAAAACTGCCGTATTCCTTACAAAATTTTGCTTCATAACAATCGTTGAAACATAGAGATAGATCACAACTTTTAATGAATACATTATGGAAAGATGAAGTCCAAATTAGAATAAGAATGGCTTCAAAAATCTGACAAACTAATTTTTCTCTGTGGGAGGACTGTCTTAACTTGTGGGCAAAAGGAAAAGTGGCAATAATGCATCTTATTATTCTTGTTACTGTATCTTATTACTTTTTAATTTCCCCACTACACAAACGACAGCCATATTGTCGCTTATATATTGGGGAAAAAAGTTTCTTTCTCTCTGCGGGCTTTTTGCAGTTCATTCCTATTGCTTATCATATTTGTTCTGCAACGTGGTATTTGTATGTTTATTGTCTCTTTATTTCAAATCCCCAAATGTGAGAATGAGGTGTTATGTTGGGACAAATAATTGCCATTTTTCTTTGGGTACATTTTCTCTATTTGCTTGCATCTCTCTGCTTAGAAAAAACAAGTAGGACGAGCTGATCGCGTGTTGAGCTAGCATAGTTGGTATTTTTTACTACTAGCAATCATTTGAATGCTCCATGCAATTTCTCATTTTGTAGGCATTCAGTTTCGCATTTAGTTAATGATTTGTCCGTACTGAGGACTTAAATTTAATCTAGCTCGGAATCAGCAATCGATTTAAGAAAAAATAAACATGCGAGTTAATCGGGATTTACGTTTAGTTTCACTTTTTTTGAAGAAAACTCTATTTAGATTGGTGTTTTTTCATGTATTATCAATAGGTATTATCAATAGGTAAGTTACTCGTAAACTTACAAATTATGTAATCTAAATTAATTTCTACTATATTTCATGATCATACTTCTTATTGTTCTTAATAATTCTTTGTTTCAATTGATATGTTATGCTTTTTTGCTGTACGTGATTCTTTTTCAGAAATCTTGGTTTTGAGTAAGTGATGGATAGGAATGTTTGACTTAAATGTCGTTAGTATTCAGAAATTTCTGTCCACGTAACTTCAAACGTTGACCGTCTGCAACGCTGTGGATAAAAAGTAAAAAAATTTCAGAATACATATTTATCAATTTCAGCACAAGATTATAAGCGGTTCGAAACTAAACCGAAAGATAAAAGAAGCAATGGCATATCGTCAGGTACTTGTTTCAGAGCAAGTATGTTTCATCTGCTTTCAGCTATATCATTATCTCTTGAAAGTTCTTTGAGCTTACCTCCTTTCCATTCTACTTATGTAGCTATAAATTATGGGAAGAAGTTGTTCTATGGTGGTATTTTACTCAGTAAATATTGATGTAAATTTTGTTTATATATTTATCGGGCATTAAACTTTATCAGGCTCAAAAACCTTCATTACTCTGTATTACTTCCATTTTATATTGCACTTTGATGCTTATAATTCTCAGTTTGAAGATTTAAAGATTTATAAGTATCAGACCGTAGTGCATATATAATTATGAATTGCAGTTTTCGTTTATTGCTACATTTGTTTCAAATACTTGTAAGACAGTTTTTTAATATTTTATCCTATTTTTCGTATAATTAAGAGTAATGCAAATTCATCACTAACTGAAGGATGATTTGTTCATTAAATCTGGTTGTTTGCGTCTACTGCAGTGAGCAGTATATGTCAGTTGTTAGTAACGAAAAATTCGGGCATTGTATTCTGAGCAACATGTTTATCTCACTGTAAAATTAAACAGTGGAAGATTAACTGAGTATTGTCATTTATCACTATCTTTACTCTGTAATTTCTTCCTACTCAGTCTTCTGTTGTCGATTCTGAGATGAGTAAGTCAAATGATTTTCCATCGTTAACGAAAGAAGATATAGAAGCAATTTTTGATTCTGCAGAGGAAATGGAAGAAACAATTGATTTGAATCCATCAAGTGAGACAATAGGGTGAGGAGAATTGCGGCTATTTCTTTTAAGTTATATATGGCATATAACGTAAAAAAGCCCCAATTATAATGGAAAGATATGATTCAGAGCTTGATTTTTACTTTTTCATCTTTTTTAGCTCTAATAATGAATCAGTAGCTTGCATTGGATGCTCGAGAATATCTCCAGCTGTAAAGCCTACTCAGGTTGTCTCTCCAATGAAACAAATGCAGAGCTCTTTATCAAGCTGTTAGTTTTTCTTGTGTTAAAGCTTTTATGACTTCATTTTATGTTTTCTATTCAGCTCATGATATGCTTTTTGCCAGTAATACAATTAACAAAGAACAGATTAGCGTAAATATGGTTGCTATGATCTGTGACAGACATTTTTAAACTTTTTTTCAGTTATCATTCATGATTCCACAATCCTTATTTTAGCATATTTTTTCTCCATTATATGAGAAGTGAATAAGTTGCTCTTACCTACTTTTCATATTGTTTTTAAAAAACTAGCTCTTTCGGTCAAACTTGACTTACTTGGAAGAGTAATAAAACATAGTAGTTGATTAGGTAACGATATTATAGTTTGTGTCATGGATTTACTTATGAAACGGGAGCAGACTCTTCGTATCGCAGGTAACACCACGGAAGCGAATGCTTTGAATGCCGTTGGCTTTGCTGTCATAAATTTAATAGCAAAGGCAGTTGAATTGCTTGAATCAAATGGTACGTTCTATATTTTTAAAATGGAAAGAAATCTTTCCGCTCATCTTTGTTATCTTCAAAATATTGTCATGAGTTGGATTACTGTATTTAGAAAGTGTGCATCTTGGGAGTTTGCTATTAGATGCTCTGAAGGTTTCAATGCATAAGAAAAATAATGAGTGGGAAAATTTGGTATTGTGTATGGAGAGTATCATTAATTTAATTGACCAAGTTCGGAAAATAAGTGAAGTCTCAAAATGCCGTGAACAAGAAAAGAGATCAACTCAGCCAACAAGTGCGATAACAGATAAGAATGAATATATAGTCGAAGTAAGCTGTCATTGTCTTTTTCAAATCTATAATGAATTTTGATTGAGAACAACGCTCGTATTTTGAGCTGATTTGTCTGAACTAAAAGTTTTGAAAAATTAGAACTCATTATGTGTGAAGCAAACATGTCGGAGAGAAGTTTCTTATATCCTTTGCTATTTGTCATAGTATCTAATTGTTATACTCAACAGTAATGGAATTAAAATATGTCAAGTCGTTCGCAACTTGAATCCAATGAAGACGTTTGCAGTTTCGTTCCCTTTTTAACTTATAGCATACCAAAGGTTATCTGCAGTTTACTTTAATTCATTTCTCAACTTTTATTATTTTGTTTAGTTGAATTAATTTTATCATTTAGATAGTAAATAGAAGAAAAAAACGAAAATTAGATGGTGTATCAAGTAGAAAACACAAAGTTGAGAGTGGACAAAGGCGTCAAGAGACTAATGAAACTTATTCGAATTTGATATCTTATTCTTCAATAAGTCCACAGAAGTTTTCGAAAGTGTCTCATCAGGCTTCAACACCGCAGCAGTCGAAGAATCATGTCAAAATTTTTAGTGTAACTTTCAACTAAATATTGTTAAAATGTATTTGCAAAATTTTCTTGTATATTATAAGTTTCAAGTACAAATATTAGCGTGAAGTTTTCTCTTGTTTTTAGGAAAATGAAAAAAGTAAAGTAAACATCTATTGTGAGGATCGTGGGATCAAACATAGCGGAAGAGTGGGGAAAAATAAGCTGAATAGAGAGGATAAAGTTCGGGTGTTGCAATCGAATACAGCAGATTTTTCAAGTCAGAATCATCAATGTTTAAACACCAGCAAGCAGTGATTAATCTCGAACTAATTTAATACACTTATACTGTATTTTAAAATTTTTAATGTTTTTGCAAGTGATTTAAAAGCGGGTTTTTTGAATGATAATTTGATCTTCTTTGCAAAATTATCACTCAGAGATCGATATGCAGTAGTGGTTTGAATAATTTTGTTTGGAGTAAAATTAAATCCATATAATTTGTAGTTGTGCCCACTTCAATCTACACAGATGTGAATATTCCTATAAGTGCAGAAGCGTTAATGGAAGAATGCAGAAACAATTCTAACAATCCTATTTTTCCATCCACATTACTGGTAAACGATTACGCTTACTATATTACTGTATGACTAGAATTTGAATTATCCATTTCACTTAGTTACTAAACTAGATGAGTTCGTCAAGCGATCCAATCAGCAGCAAATTTAGCATAATTTTTTTCTCTAGCAAAGCGCGCAAATGTGCATTAAAAAAATGATGGTAAACGTATGTTTTTAATATGTTAACCACTTTAGAAAGAGGTGCTTTCGTTCATGAAATAAATTGTTTTCGTAGTGGTAAATGCTCATGCATTTATCTGAATGGAAATAAGGGATAAGCTAATATCTTTGATAACAACAAAAAAATACTTTCTAGGTACCGAGAAATATCAGTCATCATAGCTCGGATGCACAGGGTATAGTATCTTCGAGAGAAACTTTTGATTACACTTCTTCGTTGAAACAACCAGTCTCAGTTGAAGTGAACAGTCTTTGACTTTTATTCATTTCCTCAAAATCTCTAATTTTTCAAATGTTTTTTAAACCTTAGAAAACGTAGAGTATTCATTCCAGTTGAATTCATCAGACATTTGTGTTTCATATGCATAAATATAATATTTCATCTGAGTCATGCACTCTTTAATTATGCTACGTTATGTGTCATTTTCATATTTCCTCTCTATGTCAAGAACTTACTGTATTAATTTATCAGTCTTTTTTTTCATATTTTTCCTTATTTTTCAGCTTCCGTTTGTTTGTGAGTCAAATTTCTTTCACACTATCAATAAAGTTACTCAATCAAATACAAGCTTCAGTTCTACTGAAGTATGTTTTAACTCTGGACAAAAAAGAAACTCTGAACAGCTTGTACAGCATTCCAGGTTTGTTATTACACTTTTAGCAAAGTCAGAATTTTATTTTCTATGTACTGCTTACACGTGATGCGGCGCTCAATTTTCTATTTACATTTCAAGAACTCTTGATTTAAGCCACTTCACTGACCCTTATATGCAAATTTTTTGCAGTTCAATTAAGCCAAGTCAGAAGTATGGTAACCTAAATTTTGTTAAGATTAAGAAAGCTAGTTCAAAAGGAGATAAAAATTCTGAAGGTTTGAAATTGAAAAAAAAGTAAGTTTTTTGATAGTTCAACCGCAGATTGCTCAAATAATTATAATTTGAGAAATCGTCTTAAATCTACCTTTTTCAGTAAAAATAGTTTCAGTAATGTTTGCTGCAAATTTTTTGCTTAATTAGTTAGTTAACCAGTTTAACTAAATTATTTTTTCTTCGATGTATCAATTCACTAATTGCAGGAAAGTAAAGTTTTCTGCAGAAAGCGAAAATTCTGTTATTGAAGTACTATTTGATCCTGCTGCAAATGCGGTAATTTTTTTTCCATGAGAACATTTCTTTCTAGAAACCTTCATACTTCATTTCAAAAATGTTTTTTCATTATATACTGAATCATAGTGGTCTTTCATGGAAATTTTCAAGCTTTCAGGAACATTTATATTTGATCAAATTTTCTGATTATCGTAAAAAATATCCGAAAGGTTCAGCATTTATGCCCGAAGTGAGTAAGCCATTACTCAATAAGTCTGTTTTAATTGCATCATTATATATTCAGCGAAATTTTATTTAAATAAGAGTACTTTGAGAGTTGAAAGCAAACAAAAAGTAGTATTCTACTATGACTGCGGGTTTTCCTCCACGCAAGGGATTGCGTTTTAAGATTCCAAAATTCCGAGATTCTATTTCGGAAGCTGTAAAAAACAAGAAAAGCATATGTTTTCGTATGCCGGATCTACAAATTCTTTCTTTATTGTGGATTAAATTTATGTGCATCAGAGTTTTGATTTACTAATATTTTAGGAATCTTTTTAGTCGTGTGATAAAGATTCTTGGTATGAGTTATTTTAATTTCTTCTGTTATAGGAGCAAGCAAGAAAAAGAGATCTTGAAAAACTGCCCCCTCGCGAATATGATTTTGTAAGTTTTTCAATAATTGAAAGATTATTTCTTTCAGTTAACTGAAAGTAAAGATTCCAAGTTTTCGAGATTCTATGTCATTAGAACAAAACAAAAGATCAGTAGTTTCAAGTTGAAGTTTATTATGTTCCTGCAGATAAGGATAAGTAAGCAGTAGAAGTTATCGTCAGTTTCAAGCTGGCTTTGTCTTTTCAGTAATAAATTAATATAAATGTATAAATTAAATCAATATCACATGGAGGTCAGTCTTCGCTCCTACTTTATTGATTCTGACAGTGTATTCATTGTGCTACGCACTGCACTCGTTTCGTGCTCATATTGTTGTGCTGCTCTCTGCTGCTTCCTCCTCTATGAATCCACGGCTGAGATCGAAAGAAACGCTTTCTGCCGTCTTTTTGAGCAATATCGACTGAATGTAGGTCTGGTCAAGGTCAGATGTACTGATTTCCTTCGCGTAACGTTTATGGAAGTTTTTACTGTGTAATCACGTAAGACACTATTTTTGTTCTGCATTTCATCTCTGCCCAAGTTTATTAGCATGTATATCATGCTTTCACCTTTTCTCGTTTTCGACTGCTGTCAATTGTCGTTACTGATGATGCCAACCTTTATGTGTAGATTGTTTCATGTTGCTTCATCTTCTACTAGGATATCCCATCGATCCGCGCTTATTTTGATCATTGTCCTTACTCGCGTATTAACACTTATCTTCATGTTCTCATTGGTGATGATTTACTGAACAGAATGATTCCCTTTGTATGGGAATACTTTCGAACTTCGAACTATACTTTTTACAGAGTTCTAAATAGATGTAACACCTCATTATGTCTTTTGCTATAGTCGTGATCCAGCATTTCTCACACTGCGTTAGCAGATGGTCTACACGTTTCCTACATTGTAGGAACGTATTTTTTTCAGCTCCACATATTTTGCCATCTTGGTGATAACAGTATCATGATTTATCTTGTAGTCTAATAAATTAATGCACCTTTGGATGCACAACAAAAATTATTCTCTATTTAAGCAGTGAAGTATGGTAAGACTTTGCTATTTCAAATTGCTGAAAAATACAAATATAGCTTTTTCTTCAATAAAAAAATAATCCTCTTTACAGATTAAGCCCGCCACTGAACAGCTATATTCTGATGCTCAAGTCCTTTCTTTCTGTAAAAGTTGTAACTTTTCTCATGGATATGTGCGTAATTGGTTAGTTTTTCAATTGACTGTATTCGGAAGTAGATATGTTTATGTAATTGGAGTTAATTTGTTTAAAGCTTTGTTTCACTTTAATTTTCCTTGACTATTCCTAATGAGAATTATTTTCATTGAAAATCTAAGTTGAAATTTTTTGACTAAAATTTTCAAAACATTTGTCTTTATAGGTTTATAGTTGGTTCTAGATTCAGTATTTTGAATGAAAATGTATTTGGAATGAATGTTAAAACTCGTCTTTCCCGCGTCAACTACCCTCCTCTTCATTTCAAGTTTTTATTTTCAAGATGTTTTATTGCTGATAATACGAAGTTCAGATTTTTGAATTGTCGCTTATAATGGAAGCTTATCAAATTTAGAACTGTATGCGATACACTAACAAAGATTTCAACAGACATTAGCGGTATGAAGATCTTTCTGGCTATTGGTGAGGACTGGATTGTGGAAATGTCAATCACAACTGGAGAATTCATTTGTTTCATTAAAAATTTTGCTGTAAGATTAGTCTTAAAATTAATTTGCTTTGCTTAGGATTATTCGACATACAAATTTTTTCTCACTGAAACCTTTGGATAAATTATCTTGGTTTCAGTAAAGGTTTGAATATTTGATACTATCGAGGTTTTGTGATCTGATATTGAAGTAGTAGAGATAATTGATCTTCCACTTGTTTTTACTGGTGTACATCTTTCTGCAAAAACGTATCGCTGTCCATGTATTTTTCTTTGATTTCTTTATTCATCACAAAGATATTAATTTGCGACTACAGTAACTGATTGAAGTGCATTATTGTTGAAAAGACCAGTGCTTACTTTTTCAGAATGTTTTGTTTCAACTTTATGCTAAGAATTATCTGTTGATGAAAGCAAAAAGTGATTTTGTGAGTGATGTCGATGATCTCATGAAAAGTTATGCTTATGTGGAAATGCCGACACTGATACTGTTTACTATCCCAGCGGTAAGTTCTCTATCTTCTTCCTGATTATATTTGCTGCAAGAATAACAAAATTAAGAAAAGTTCTGAAATAAATCAACTATATGCATAACAAACAAATTAGTCACTCAATTACGGCCTTGATGTGCTGCTATTCTGATTCTAAAACATAGTTTCGGAAATTACAAAGAAAGTAAAGCATATTAGCGGAGTCTATATTCATGGGCTCATTTTCATTGTTTTATTGATTGCAGCGCTCGGGCCAGGAATTAGATTCGAATTGTAATGCTTACAATACAGCATTAAAACAATTGATTAAGAGCTGGGATGTTACACCGACAAGGTAAGATTAGCTTTGTTTGAAATGAGGCCCTTTGAAAAAAACGGTGCAGAGCATAATTGGGTCTGCTTTATTATTCTGTACCCAACTTTTATTGAAGCACTTCCCGAAATTAAAGTTGCATAAATGATAATAAATTGAAAATGAGTTAATAAATTTTAGCTGTAATGAACTAATGAATATATCCAAACTAATGAATACATGTTAGATATATTTACACTTCTTATTGTGACTAATAACTAACTAGCTCATTATAATGCAAAAAATAAATTTGTCGATGGATCATGAATAAAAGGCTGAGCGCCACACATATACAGATTATTATGTCAGCTAAGGATTATAAAAATTGGATCAATAATTTGTTGACGATAGATACTATGAAAAAAATAAGGTAGTTTGGGCAGATGAAGCATTTGTTGCAGCCCTTTTCATCATACCGCGACAAAACAGTGCATAGAACTGAGACTAATTGATTGGCAACAAATTTGCTGTGATAACAATGCAGTGAATGACGAGGATATGATTACTATTTTAATGAAACATTTAATGGAGGACTGGGGTGTATGCCTAGTTCCTAAGAATCGTGTTTTACATTTGTGAGCTTGCTCTCATAAGCCGCATTTGGTGCATCTCCCTGATGTAGTTTTGTTTAACATGTTAGCATCATACATATTTGCTTATGTAAGGTGGATTGATTATTAAAGTGAGGTTTTGAGCAACGCATCGACAGTTGACTATGTATAAATATATTTTTAAGGAGTTCTTATTTTTGGTTTTTCTGCCTATATTTGTATGCCCAAATATCAATATGGTTTAAAGGTATAATTTAAAACCACTTACTTTCGTAGCAAGTGAGCGGGAGAACTGTCATCTCTGCAAGTTGTGTGATAAGCTTTCAGCTTTTTGATGTTAACTTTATCTTCTTTGTTCGATTACTCTGCTCGTATATAGAAGGTATTTTGGATGAGCATTCTTATTAACCTCAGTAATTTCAAAACTGTCGAATAAAGTAAATTTACTGATGCATAGAATTGTTATTTGTTCCATTTTCAACTTGTTTCTTCTTCTCAATGAGCATACGGTTTGTTCGTGTTGCGCATTTATAATTTGAGTTGCCATGTTTACTTGCTAGTTTCATATACGGTCATGTTATTTGTTGCTAGTTCTATACAAGTTTAAAGTCTTGTCATTGAAACACTGGTCTGCGCTTGCTGTAGAGTTAAAATGTGTAAATGCAAGTTTTGCTGGCTGCATTAGACTATGAAGAAATGATATTTCCACAAGAGCTATTTCAGCTTTTATTTGAAACTTGCAGACTGATTATTAAGACTTGTTTTACTTTACTTTAAATAAACTCATTTCTTTACATTTCGTGATGTGGTGGGATGGTCTTTTGAGAGAAGCTAAGTGTAAGTGAAGTGAGAAATCGAAATTTTGGACAAAATGGTTGTGGATTTCGGTAATAAGTAATGGTTTCAAGTAGTTGCATTTATCAACATGATCCCAATCATGACGTTTTGACTGTAAAATTATTCCAGAATACCACGAAGTTCATAATTGCAAGATAAGTATAAGCCTTTTTCCGATCAAGAGTGTCAGTCAACTTGTGTATGCCAGTTCTTCACGAATATGCGTGAAGAAAAATCATTCCTTCACGATAAATAGAAAATTGAGAAGCAGTGTAATTCTAGTCGGATTTGCTTTGTAGTGACTGGTGCTCCAGTGAGAATTTTCAGTTTTTCACTTACTAAATTTTCATCATCTTATACAGTAATTTATTTATCAACACAGTCATATAATTACCTTACTTAAAACCTGCTTAGGTCAAGCCTTGTTTGAAAAACTTGTTTTCAAGTTCATATCAAAATAATTTTGCATGTTTTGTTACAAGACACTGAATTTGGTGTTTACTTCCTAACTACTTCACCCTCTACCCTTAGAAAAATTCATATTGCAAAAAGTTTGTGTTGAATTAAATTAGAATTTTTGTTTGAGCGATATTTGGTAGGAAGCAGTGCCCTCATGCTCTGTCTTGTTTTTGAAATGCAAACTATAAAGTGAGCCATGAGGAGTACATGACAAAATAAAGCAGTGACCTTTTACCTTATTATGAAATGATCGAACTTGGCTATTTTTCATTTTTTATTCGATATTGAGGATTTCAGTTCGGAGTTCCTATCGGAAATCGCCATTCATTCATAGTGATATTTGGCACATTCAAATTTTGTTAATGTATGTATGGATGAAGTCTTTCTACTCTTTTACTCATTGAAATTTTAAATTTAACTTGTATTAAAAATTTGTACTTTGAGCCATTTTTTCAATATTTTTCATAACTATTTTTATGTTTAACTTTCTTTACTTAACTTTTGTTAGTGATAACAAATAAAAAATAATCCATAATTAATATTTTGGAATTATACTACAAACTTTTTCAGTTAATTTTGATAAAATTTGAGGCAATTGAGAGGAAGGAAAAGTTCTTGCTCTACAACTGTAAAGCTCTGTAGTCACATAGCTGAAGAAGAGTTTAGACCGGAGGATGGCACATGTCTATTTCCAGATCATAACAGCATGCTATGCTGTTGAATAATGATTGATATTTAGTGAATTTCGAACTAGACATGAAATTGAGACTGAAATTTATAAGAAATTTTATTACACTGGCATGCTACACTTAATAAAAATTATTCTTTTCTGAAATAAGATTTATTAGTGAATAACAGTTAGTTGATATGCTGTAGAGAAAGCCAGAATACAAAACTTAAATTTGAATTTAATTAGAAAATTGATCAAATAAAAGTGCTTTCTACAATGTAGAATAATCGTTTTTGGGACTAAATGGCTCAGTTTCAAGCAGTCGTAATTTTGACTACTGATTAATTGCTTTTTCTTACAATTTCATTCAAGGAATTGGCACTCATTCTACCATAATTATTATCTGATGACATGCACAAAACTTGAATTAGCAGTAAGCCAACCATGCCGGTAATTTGTCTTATCTTGCTGTTATATTCTGGCCTCGCAAGGTTAGCCTATAAATTGCTCATTATATTTTTGCAACGTGAATAAAATTTTGCTAACATTGTGCACTAAATTGAGTTTTACTTTGAAAGAAAAGCCCTTAAGTTTCAGAAGTGAGAAGCCATCTTTCGATTTCAGCAGGTACCATAATTTTAAAGAATATGAAAATTATTTGGAAGCTGTAGCAAACAAGCTTCCAACTTTGGTAAAATTGCAAGTGATCGGGTACACGCATGAAGGTAGGAGGTTGCTTGCATTGAAGGTATATACTTTTCCTTACGACTTTGAAGATATTCCTTAGTCAATTGGTTTTTGAACTGGAATTTTTACTGTGTAAACTGCATTTAATAACCAAATGTTTGAATTTGAATGATAAAATATTTTTGAATTATTTTCAGCTCGTCAAAATTGTTATTATGTATGTGCTGAGGAGATTTTTTTTTTCATAATAAAAACTGCAGGAAATTTGCTACCTCTATTTTCAGAAGTTTAAAACGCAAATAATGGTTTTGTAACCTTTCAAAAAATTAGTTATTTACAAATTCCTGTTGCTTTCTTTTAACAGTTTAATCGTGACTGTTGCATGATATGTATTTTTTAAAGGAAGTGGTCAAATGGGGAAGTTTTATTTCTCTATCTTATTTCTCTACATCGTAAACAGTTGAGTATACTAAAAAGAACATTTGAGGTGTTGCTGAAATGCAGAAATTTAAAGAGAAATAAAAAATAAAGTAATAAGCTCAACATATTAAACTTACATCACTAACTGATTAATAGTAGCTTGAGGTATTTTCTTAATCAAACTTTTTATAATTTTTCAAAGTTTGTTATAATAACCGGTTTTTTATTGTCAGAACTCACATTTTCAGGTGCACAGAACAGATAAAATTGGTATTTCAAAGTGCAATCAGAGATTAAAAATACTTTGTTAACTTTTCCTTAACTTTTTTAATTATTAATTAAATAATTGAATTTGCAATGATTTATTCTTAATTGAACTCGACAAGATTAAGATTGGCAATCCTGTTCAAGCGAACAGTAAGCGGATCGTTTATATTGATGGTGGTAATCACGCAAGGGAATGGCCCGCATTTCATACAGCCACATTTTTTATCCACAAGGTTCTTTTCCCCAAAAATTGTAATAAAGAAATTTAAGAAGTTGTTCAAACTAAATAGAAATGGCTACCTGACAATTTTAAGCATTATGTTAGAAGCATTAAATTTAACAGTATTTAAGTACATTTTGGGATATTAGTTTTCAAAATAATAGCGCTTTGTGGAGTGACTAGCTTCATGAGCGTAATAGTAATAACATAAGTTTGAAAAAATTATAATTCTCCAATGATTAGTTGTAGCTTATCACCGGGTATGGTAAAGATCCAGAAATAACTAGTTATGTCGATAAACTAAACTTTTACATACTCCCGGTTCTTAATCCTGACGGCTTCGAATTTTCTTTCTCAGCAAGAACTGCTTTGGTAAAGATATTTTTATCATTTTCAAAGTTTTAAAAATTAAATTAAAAATAGTTGTTTACAACCATCAAGACTAAATTATACAATTCACATGAGAAAATTAAAACAGTGTTTGTTAATATCAACACATAAAGCATGAAATCCATTGCAGTTGAGAAATTTAATTTCCAAGAACTGAAAATTCATTTTGTCTGGCTAATAAAATGTTTTTCTTAGCCAAAAAGTTTTTCCACGAAATTTTAATTCAACACTCTCAAAATGTTTGAAATTTTAAAACTATTTACCCACAGTTATGACAGTTTTTCGAATAAATTACTATTTTTTATAGAACTGATAATTTTTAAGTTATTTGCACTTTTTATTAGTTGAGAAATTGGCGAAAAAATCGAACTCCGAAAAATTGTGTTAATGATTTGCTTTTGGGCAAAGAATCATGTTGTCAAGGAGTTGATATCAACCGCAATTACGATTTTGGTTTTGACCAAACAGTCTACTCTTTGAAGAATCCATGTTCTGATGAGTACCAAGGACCCTTTCCATTTAGTGAACCGGAATCCCGGTACTTATTTCACTATAACAGTTCATCACAATCGTATTTTCAGAATTGCTGAAATTCTTTTGAGTTTATCAGTCATTAAGATATATTTTAACAGGATCTGGATAATAATATTATGAAAACTTAAATCGAAACTTCAAAATGTAAGATGCTTGATACAATAGTAATCTAGAGCAATTCGAGATTTTTTTACCTCTGACGAGCTAAGAAATAAGACCGATGTGGTGATTAGCTTACACACCCATGGACAAATGATTATCCTTCCATACAATCACCGGAGAAGCTCATATCCTAAGGATTATGCAGATCTGGTATCATTTCTTACGCATTAAGAATATCAATCATTGCTCTATTCCTGCATAATTGGCGTCTTAAAAATGTTTCACTTTGAAGGAAAATTTTATTATTCAAAATAGATTAATCAATAAATGATAAATTGGTGCGTACAATTTTAAAAACATGTTAACATTTTTTGAGTGTGTAAATTAATTTTTCGAAAATAATTTTTTAATTGTTTATAGATGGCTGTGGCTTTGAAAGCAAAAATGGCGTTAAAAAAATATAGCGGACGTGAATATCAAATTGGCACAATGGCTGATATCTTTCGTACATATTTTGATGCTGCACAGTTTATAAATACTGTCCAAAACATAGTTTATTTTATCATTATTTTATATGAAGTGGAATTTGTGTATTAATTCAATTTTTTAACTATTCTTTACAACAACATTCACATCATCGAAAGTATACATTGTAAATCCATGATTTTTCGAGCAATGAATCAGCTACATCATTCATATAATTAGAAAATAAAGCAATTTTTAAGGGCTGACAAAACCAGTTTAGTTAGAGCTGATTTGAATTTCATTATAATGCCTATCAAAAGTTGTTAAGGATGAGAAAATGAAAAGAGAAGAAATTCACAGTCTCATTGATTGAAATAAATATTTTCCAGAGCTTAAAGTAATTTTGGAGAATATATAAAAGGAAGCAAACAAAAACTTGGATTTTATTTTGAGCTTGAAGTAATGTTGGAGGTACAATCTGAATGATTTAAGGTCCAGCACCAGGCAGTGCAACAGACTGGATTAAAAATCAAACAACTACAAAATACGTATTCGTATTTGAGTTACCACCAGATACAACAAGTAATTATTACATCATTAAAAGTTTTGCCGGCTTTGAAGAAATTGCCCCTTCGTAAGTACATGAAAATAAGTATTCGATTTGAGTTGAGCTTATTACTAACTTATTAGTAATATGAGTTATCTTTCAACTTAGTTGATATTTACATCTTTAAGAAGAAAAACTATCAAGAAGAAATAACTCAGAAGAATCGAAAATATTGTTGCTAGATAGAAATTCTCAGTGAAAACATTCATTCACTTTCTTCAGCGTAAATAACGAATTTTGATAACTTTAAAATTTTATAAAATATTTCAGCATGGTTTGCATTTCAAATAAAACCAAACACACTGCTGTCAACAGCTACCGAAACTTGGCAAGGTGTAAAAGTGGTCATTGATCAGGTTATCGATGAGAATAACTTGTAACTTTTTGCGCAGAAAAGTAAAGATCAAAAGTCTTTATCAGCTTATTGCTTGCCATGCCAAACATCTTCAGAATAATCCTGACCACTATATAACAGCTTCGCTACATTTCCAAGAAAATGCCTTTCTGAGCCATTTATATCAATTTAGAAACTCAAATTTGAAAAGTATGTTATGACAGCAATTGGTTGATTATTAGCGACTATTTCGGCATGCCAGTTTTATATATTTTTTTATTGACTCAATAACTCACAGTGATCTTCACCAAATCTCCACTTACCTTTTGTAATCTTTTGGTATGAATAAAAAGTTATTAAAAGTTGTAAAGTAATTTCAAAACTTCCACGTCATATTAAAACTTCAGAAATCAGTAAGTCCTTTGGAGTAGTGTTACCAGCAAATAGAAATTTTTGAAAAAAATAGATTAAAAAAAATAAATAATAATAATAAAAAAAGTAAAAGTAATAATAATAACTAATCATTAATAACAATGATAACTAATCAATAATAAATAAAAGAAAATGTGGGGGTTAGTTCTCGTTCTCGCTTTATTGATTCTGTCGCTGGATCGCATTTCGTCACTCTGGCTGTACTTGTCCCGCGCTCAGATATTTTATACTCATCACTTTGTCCTCGTGAAATCCACAGCAAATGAGATGCTTTCGAGCGTCCTCTTGAGAACTGTCGATTGAATGTATGCCTCGACGTGGTCAGATATACTAGTCTCTTTGCATAGCGTTTGTGGAAGTTCGTTACAGTCCCATCCAAGTCATCACATAAGGAATTATTTTGGTCCTGCATTTCATCTCTGACCCAAGCTTATTAGCA